CGCCGCAACGACTGACTCAAGACCAACGAGGTCGGCCGCACCAGCAGAGGCGAAAGAGGGCAAAAGTGGGGAAGGGGAACACCCGTCAAAGATGGGGGTGCGAGGGTCACCACGAGAGGCCCCTATAGCGACTATGCTCTTCTCCGCTGCTAGGAGGGCCTTCTCTAGGAGGTCAAACAGCGAGAGTGGTGGGACACATTGAGAGGAAGTGGTCTCTGACTACACGAAGGGAGTCAGGGAGGCGGTTGACTATATAATAGAGAGTGATGTACATGGGGGGGGGGTTCTTGGCGCAGAACTCAGCAGGAAGCGCAGCGTAGTAGCGAGTGTCACTAGTGCGGAGGTGCGTAATAAGGTCAGCGACTGTGGGGAAGGCAGCAAGGTCAGGGAAGAGGAACGGTAGCATGAGGCGGCTCAGTGCAGCAGTGGCAGGGGAAGAGTAGCGCGCAACGATAGCGTCGTACAAGGTCTGAGCACTCTTGTACTGACTAAAGTGTGCGTGCTCAGTGATAGGCAAGTGGCAACGCATAGCAAGACGTGTAGCAGCATCGCGAGTGGCCCACTGTGAGCGATCAGTGGCGTCGGCATCAGAAGCAGGGGCAGGGGAGGCTCCAGAGGTGAGGTCAAAGAGGGAGAGACCGTCTGCCCTATCGTACTGTAGGAAAAGCTGCAGGTCATCTACCTAGACGTCAAAGTCAATGGCCCGACCCTCAGCCATGGAAAGCGAGAACACTGGGGGTAGCCATGAAAGCAGTAGACTAGCAGTGCCAACTGTAGGGTTTATGGTGGGCGACGGGGCCGATCGATGGTAGGGCAACGGGGCCGGGTCTTAGGTTGGGCGACGGGGCTGGGGCCGGGGTGCAGGTAGGGCGACGGGGCCGGGGCGCAGGTAGGGCGACGGGGCCGGGTCGACGGTAGGGCGACGGGGCCGGGCCGAAGAAGGGCGACGGGGCAGGGGCGCAGGGTGGGCGACGGAGCCGGGTCGACGGTAGGGCGACGGGGCCGGGTCTTAGGTAGGGCGACGGGGCCGGGGCCGGGGTGCAGGTAGGGCGACGGGGCCGGGGCTGGAGCGCAGGTAGGGCGACGGGGCCGGGTCGACGGTAGGGCGACGGGGCCGGGGCCGGGGCGCAGGTAGGGCGACGGGGACGGGTCGAAAGTAGGGCGACGGGGCCGGTACGCAGGTAGGGCGACGGGGCCGGGGCCGGGGCGCAGGAAGGGTGACGGGGCCGGGGCCGAGGCGCAGGTAGGGCGACGGGGCCAGGGTCGCTAGGGGCAGCGGGGCCGGGGCTGTTGGAAGGGCGACGGGGTCGCTAGGGCGGCTCGAATGAGGGGCCGCTAAGGCCGCGCGACGTGGCCGCTAGGGCGGCTCGACGAAGGCAGAGAGGTGAGCGCGACTCGGGGAGCGCGCTTCGGGCAGGAAAAAAATTTCAACGCGGTGGGCCCTAGGCACAGTTCCCACGAGGGAACCTGCTCGATATCATGAGAAAGTTGAAACGAGAATGAGTGCACTAAGGAATGAAAGTGGTACAAATATGCAACCCTAGAAAAGTGTACCCCATATAGGCTACCCCACTACAGCCTAAACAACATTATAATTTGACAGACTTCCCCTTCGGGAGCCCGCCCAAAGCCGCCTTGACCTCGGTTCTGTCCATGGAGCCTTAAGTCTGTTCGCCGCCTCCGCCGGCAACTTCCTGTCCATCCTGAAAACCAAGGCATCCCGACTGTGGCTCCGCCGCTTCCGCCTTGAAAGCCTCCGCAAAGTACTCCCATCGCGGAAAACGTAAATTGCGTTTTAAAGTGGCCGAAGGTTTTTCTGCGTGGGCCTTGCGTGCTTGTTGTGACATGTGTAAAAAAAAAAAGGGCCGTAAAACGCAGCATCCCCACCATCAATAACCGCACACTCGTCCACAACATTACCGCCACCAAACTGTTACTTTGCCGTTACCTGCGCCATTATCCGCACCGCCTCTACGAAGGCACCTTGAACACATGCGGCTCGGGCCCAGAGCTGCAACAATACTCGGTATTAGCGTGCCGCACAAACCCCGCTACAGTTTCCGCGTCAAGCCTATCTACACACTTATTCCAAATACCGTAACCAACATACGCAACCAGCGATATGCTTCTGCAAACCGGCTACTTTCCATTGTTAACATGTGCCATTATCATAAATCTTATAGTTCATACTTACAAAGAACAATACACAAAGCCATGTTGGAATAACTGAACAGGAATGAATGAACTAACAGTGAAGTGACTACAAGTACCTAACCTTAGAATTGTGTACCCCCTATAGGCTAACCCACTGTAGCCTAAACAAGCACAACATATATAATGTTTGACACACGGCGAAGTGGGGGAGAACTAGGGGTCAGAAGACCAGTCAAGGCAAAGCAAGGCAAAACAAGCTCAGGGTGGATCTCAAGGATACCACACAACTTCCGAGCACAAGCAAGTGGTCACAAGACCAGTTCACATGCAGGTTTATGATAGAGCAAAAGGTACAATGATCACAACCTAGCAAGAGTAAGCATGCATATATTTATATATAAAGATCACAGTACAAGCAGACTCAAGAAGTAAGCAAGTGAGGTCCAGTAGGCACAATGCCTAGAACAGTGCAAAAGCGTTGATGGTCACAAGGCTGAAGCGCCTTGGTGAACACATCAGCAGTGTTGGCCTCACAGGCTACGTAACGCATGCGAAGCTGACCACGCTGCTGCAGCTCTCGAGCAAGGAAGTAACGCAGAGCAATGTGCTTCGTTCTGTGCTCCAGTCTGTGCTCCTAACACAACGCAATGGATGCCTTGTTGTCGACGTACAGCACTGGAGGAGAACGAGGCTGCTCTCCAAGGTCGGTCAGCAAGTAGGTGAGCCAGCGAAGCTCCTGGGCGGCCATGGCTGCGTAGATCTCAGCCTCACAACTGGAGCTGAGAACAGAACAAGAGCGAGTAGAACGCCAAGAAACTGAACCAGAGCCAAGACTGAAGGAGTAACCCTGAGACAACCGCAGAGTAGCCTGGTCGTCTGCCCAAGAAGCGTCTGAGTGCCCAGTGAGAACAACTGGGACTCGCCCTCCAAGCACTAGCCCCATGCCCGACGTACTGCACAAGTAGCGCAACACCCTCTTAGCTGCATCCATGTGCTCCTTCCGGTGACGGCCGGGAGCGACATAGCGTGCAAGAATGCTGAGAGGGTATGCAAGGTCTGGTCAAGTGCAGGTCATCAGGTACATGAGGCAACCCACAAGCTCTGGATACGGGCCACTCGGCTCTACGGACTTATCCAAAGGCAGAGCTGAGAGCGAGTGACCGGTAGGCAGAGGAGTGGGCTGAGGCGAGGAGTACGTGAAGCAGAAGCGCTGCAGGACCTGCTGCACCATGTATGACTTAGTCAAGGTGATGGTGCGGCGTGCTCTGTCCCGGGTGATCCGCAAGCCAAGATAGCTAGTCAGTTCACCTAGGTCTGTGCACGTGTGTCTCTTCTGCAGCTCCGACTTCACGTGGGCGAGTGCCACAATGTCAGCAGTAGTAAAGACCAAGTCGTCGACGTACACAAGGACGTAGAACGGCGGCAGTGAGGTGTCGGTGCGTAGAAACAGCGACGGGTCAGCAGTAGAAGGCGCGAACCCAACAGCCGCAAGCGTAGTCCTCAGTGTGTGGTGCCACTCATGAGGCGCCTGGCTGGGACCGTAGACTGGCCGTCGGAGGCTCCACTTGGTACCAGGAGGGAACGACCCAGTGAAGCCAGATGGACGGCGCAGCCATATCTCCTCGTGCAGGCTGCCCTGCAGGAAAGCAGTGCTGAAGTCAAGCGAGTGGAGCTCGTAGTCACGCTGAGCGGCGACGTGCAGCAGAACCCGAAGAGTGGTCATCTTTGGGGTCGGGGAGAAGGTCTGGAAGAAGTCAACTCCCTCTCGCTGACCGAAGCCTCGTGCAACGTAACGCGCCTTGAAGACAGGCGGAGAGCCCGGTGGCTGCTTCACCCTGAAAATCCACATGCCACTGACGATGTTCGCCCCATGTGGGGGAACCTCGTCGACGTAGGTGCCTGTGGACTTCCAGGAAGCCATCTCTGTGTTCATGGCTGACTGCCACTGAGAGGAGTAGGGACCGGCCATCGCCTCTGCGTAAGAGCGTGAGGTCGGGATGTCTGGTGCATCCGGGTCTCCCTCAGGGCCAACAAGCATGGACACGAGATGGGGCAAAGCGGCAGTAAAGCACTCACCACCACGACAGTCAATGTTGGAAACACGACTGCCAATGTTGGAAACGGCCTGCCGCTCCTTGAGCACGACTACCTTGCGGACCTTGACTACAGGGGGTAATTATTGAGCCATTTGACTTGTTCAACAAGAGTCGTAGGGTGCATGCATTCTTTATGCGCGTGACTAAACACCGTCCTTTCCTATCGCATGCCTCCCTGCAGAGAGCACTACTCAATGGTGATAGTCATATCACCCCACCGGCTGGTGGATAAGAGGTCAAGGAAGGATAGCCCGCCGCTGGAAATGGTGTTGTTCGACAGCTCCAGGGCCCCCATGAGTACACAGAAGGTTTTCAGTGGCGTGAAAGTGTAAGTATGGTATTCCGTCACTGTTACTACTATTGTTATTTGCACATGCGTGGCTGTAACCGGGTTGTGTACGCCGAGATGTTCCGCAGGGTGTTGTCAACCATGGCCAGGACGACGCATCCACATGTAGACATGGCGAAATTTGATCAGCTGCTGAAGGACGTTCCCTGCCATGTCCTCACCGTACGTGTGACCTTCCTGGTTTTTTTGGTGGACTGATGTTGTTATACAAAAGTCAGAATTGACCACCAGGTGTGCGGTTTCTTTGCGCGTAGGAAAACCACATCCCCAAGCAAGAGAACGGTTATGAATGTGGAGTCTTTGTTTGCCACTACTTGAAAAATTTGGTGTACTCCGACTTCGCCAACGTGAAGAGTGGCTTGTGGTTCAAGGGGGTCAGCGTGCTGCAGTACCGCCGCATCATGCGCGCTGATCTATGCGCTCACGCTATGGGAGAGTTACTCCGGAAGCTAGATGAGGATGGCTTGGATGTTCCTTCTCAGCCAAGCGGGTTGAACACCAACACAACTTTGAGGGAGGGCGCGACGGAAGGACGTGAGAAAGAAGAACATCGTATAGACCAGCTCGAGGCAGAGGTGTGCTCGTTAAAGCGCGAGGTCGGTGCAATGACTGCAGGATTCGACGCAATTTGTAGTGTGCTTGGGATGTCGAGGGAGCAGTTGATCTCAGCAGACGAAAACATGCTGCAGCAAACTGGCGTCGCTGAGCAGGGATCGAGGGGTACGGATGGGCGCAAGCACGGACCGCACACTCCAATGCGGCCATCAGGCTACACGAAGCAGGTGAAAGACAGCCCAGACGAGGATATGATGGGCTCGAACACGATAGTGTCGCTCGACAGCAAATTTGCGTCGGCCGTTGGTGCGTACCCCTGTTTCCCGGCACCTCTGCCAATCCCCGGGACGGTTCCACACTGGGTGCTATCACGGCAGCAGGCAGCTGCAGTTTCACTAGTCCAGCCATCCTATCCGGGGTACGGGATGGCGCAGAGCGGTGCGGGCGCACACCCCGGCTTCATAGCTGTACCTAAGCAGGAGAAGTTGGCGGGAGGAGAGGATTCGGAGGAAGATGGAGAGGGCGAAAACGAGCCAGGAACAAAGCCGACCAAGTACACAGGGGTCTATGTGGAGGCCGATACAGGGAAGTATGGGGTGAAGATCGTCGCAAAGGACAAGGAGGGGAAGAAGATAACGAAGAGAGTCGGCACGTACACCACGATAGAGGAGGCAGCGTATTGCTACGCGGCAGCTGCCCATGTGCTAAGGCCTGGTAAAGGCACCCGGAACTCCGTGGCTTTAACACCGGCTGATAAGGCAGCTTTGAAGGGGTGCACTCTCGAAATCCTGAAAGTCATGGTGGATGCCCACATGTGGTGGCGCTAGAGGGTATGGAGGGAGACTTACGAAGGTCTGATGCTGAAGGCAGCGCGAACAAAGAAGAATGCAACGCGTGCAAAGAGGGGGAGACCGCGCAAGGGGAGTGGTGATCAGGGTGGAGGCACGGCACGGTGTGAAAATTTAGAAGAAAGAAGAGAGGGTTTGCACTAGCAAGAATGAGGATACAAATAGCAAACCCTAAAAGGGTTGTACTCGCTATAGAGCACCCCACTACAGGCTAGAGCATAATATTCTGACACACCCCCATAGCCAAAGTGGGGTGTAATCAGCAGAGCAAGCAAAGCAGTACAAGCTCAGGGTGGATCACAATGTCACCATGCATTCTAAGCACAAGTTGAAGAAGCAATAGTTTAAAGTTCACAATTATGAGCAAAGCTAGAGGCTATCGCAGAGGGCTAGTGTGGAGGAGGGACTATGAGAGGAGAGGAGGTAGTGGGCGGCAACTGAAGCTGTTGGCACACGGCGCAACTGGAGCAACTGGCACACGGGCAACTGGAGCAACTGGTACACTGGCAACTAGAGCAACTAGCACACGGGCTACTGGAGTAACTGGCTCCGCGGCTAAAAGTAGCGGCAGACGAGCAACGGAGTCACGGGCGACTGGAGCAACGGGCTCATGGGCGACTGGTGCAACGGGCTCTCGGGCGACTGGCGCAACGGTCTCACGGGCGACTGGAGCTGCTGGCTTCTCGGCGGCCACCCCCTTCAACCTCCCCAAACTATCCCACCCCCATTTCACACACCCCCTACTGCACCCCTAGGGTCACTCACACCCCACCCCCTAGCACCACACTGTCGACTCCCACACACCCACCCCCCTCAGCGGTAGCTGCAGCAGTGGGAGACAGAGGAGGAGGAGGAGCAGGGGAGACCACACACCCGCCACCCCCTCAGGTCGCCTCGACAGGCGACGGGAAAAAGGGGGGGGGGGAGGCGGTGCCGTAGGTAGGGCGACGAGGCCGGGGCCGAGGCGCAGGTAGGGCGACGGGGCCGGGGCCGGGGCCGCAGGTAGGGCGATGGGGCCTAAGGTAGGGCGGCGGGACGACGGGGCCGCTGGCGGCGGTTCCGGGCCGATAGGAGCGGCGACGAAGAGCGACGCGCGGGCCCCCCCTCGCCCGTCGCAGCGCCTCCCGGGGGCGACGCGACGAGTGACGGGGCATAAACCCGTCGCGCGCCTTGGGGCGCACGGCGGGAAGAAAAAACTGCCGCACGCCACTGGGCGTGCGGCACAGAGAGTAGCAGTAGTAGTTGCAGCGGAAGCAACGAGGTGGTGAGCCCACCCACAGGATCGATCCAAGGGGATCGGCCTGCTCTGATACCATGTGAAAATTTAGAAGAAAGAAGAGAGGGTTTGCACTAGTAAGAATGAGGATACAAATAGCAAACCCTAAAAGGGTTGTACCCGCTATAGAGCACCCCACTACAGGCTAGAGCATAATATTCTGACACAGGGGAGGGTGAAGGCGAGAAGGCTGGCAGTGAGGACATTGTCATGCATAATATTCACGAAGCAGAAAACAGCAGAACGCGTAAGATGGCCCGCGGTGCAAAGGCAAAGTCTGTAGAGGACAAGACAGATGAAACTCATCACAAAAACCCTATGCCAAGTTTGGTCGAATTTTGATTTCGATTGTCTTCGCGTAAAAAAATCCGTAGCCAATTTGGACCGACGGTTAGAGTCATTTGATAGGAGCTCCGAGACACATCTCGCGACAAGGCTTGGCTCGGTTCAAGTTCCAATTTGGCACGCGAGCTTTTCCGGATGACATTCCGACGCAATCCGTTTTGTTGCAAATTCGTGACCAATTTATTCAATACTAAATTCTGTTTTTGTTCATTTTGGATTTTGGGGATTTCAAAATTGCATTTATTATTGCGGTTTACAAGAACCATTATTCAGCATGCTAGCAACAATCAGTCTTAGCACCAGGTCAAATAGCCTACGCATTGGCGGGCCTTGAAAGCGCCCGGTGGGCAAGGACGACATCTCCAAGGTCGCCGTCGTCGATGAGGAACTTGTTCGGAAAGACGAACGCACCCATAGCCGGATCGTGGGGAATCCTCCGCTCCACGACAGCAAAATGGATCATCTGTTTGACCTTTTCGCACCACTCCTGGTAGTCTGGCCTGTTCTGCTCTGGCTGGCTACTGATTCGCTTGCGACGCTTATCCTGCAGAAGGGGCCATTCGATCTGCAATGTGGTGTAGTAGGGTTGGGTGGGTGGTTTATGAGGAGGGTAGGTTACGGGTAAATGAGGCAACTGAAAGCGGTGATGCAGTCGTCACTATCTACGTAACTGCAAAGGCCTAATCGACCAGGGATTAGGGTTGAAGTACAGGCAAGGGGTTAAGGGGATGAGGCATGGGGGTACAAACACATATCTACATCCTTACCGAAAACAGGCCCCATGCCACCATGCGGCTCTTGAACTTGGTGAACACCGCCCCGCCCCTCTTGAAGGAGATCTTGAACGCATAAGCGAACAAGGGGTTGCTGAAGGGCGTCCCGGTGGCCTTGTCAAAGTGCCAGTTGAGGGCCCACTGTTCTGTTTTTTGGCAGGGAGGGTATGGGTTGGAAAGGGTTTTGTAGAGAAATCAAGTGGGGGGATGAGTGTCAGGGTGAGCCACATCGCACAGTGATATGTAGCTGCCAACTGGCATATGGTAGGGCATATTGTGTTTTCGAGTTGCACATACCATCTTTGTACTCGGCTAGGAGTTGAACGTCATCGAACCAGGTCGTTGGGTGTAGCTCAGTGGGCAGGCTATCCACGAGATGGCTGTAATCAGCAAGGCCCATGCCGGTGTATGTTGCTGGCCTGAGGGTGGAGTTGATAGTTGACCTTGTTGAGGACAGCTGGTGGTTGAAGACTCCCATGGTTGACTTGTCATTGTGCAACCACAGCAGCTTCATTGCCTCGAGCCCTTCTGCAGACAAGTGGACAGAGAACGCTTCGAACACTTCCTCCGGTGCAGGGTAGTACTGTATTTTCTCCGGCGGGTTCAGAAACATGAGCTGAGAGCACACTAAGTAGGCTTTGTTCTGCGCAGTGGTGTAAGGTATACAACACGACATGGGAGAGAGAAACCAGCAGTTATGTGGGTGGCCGCGTGACCATGGGATTGTGACTAGCAACACTGTGTGAACTTGCCACGTCACACCCTGCGCCATCCGACACGTCCACCAACAACCCGGCCCATTCTGCCACGTCACACCTCCCTACCACAAGCCACGTCACCCCCCACCCACCTGACACGCCTCGCTTCGTCATGCGCAGTTGTCACGTGTACCTTTTCTAACCGCCACGTCATCCCCAACCCTCACATGCTGCCACGTCACACCCACCTGCATCCGCCACGTCATCCCCAACCCTCACCTTCCGCCACGTCAGACCCTCCTGCATCCGCCACGTCCACCAACCAGCCCCACGTGCCACATCACACCCTCCTGCATCCGCCACGTCCACCAACAACCAGCCCCACGTGCCACGTCACACCCTCCCATCCCATGCCACGTCACCCCCCCACCCACCTGACACGCGTCGCCTCGTCAGTGGCCGCTCCTGTGTACCATTCCAAACCGCCACGTCAGCCCCAACCCTCACATGCTGCCACGTCACACCCTTTTGCATCCGCCAACAACCCGCCCTACTTGCCACGTCACACCCCCACCAAGAGCGACGTCACCCCCCACCCACCTGAAACGCCTCGCTTCGTCATGCGCCGCTCACGTGTACCCTTGTAGGGTGCCACGTCATCCCCAACCCTCACCTTCCCCCACGTCACACCCACCTGCATCCGCCACGTCATCCCCAACCCTCACCTTCCGCCACGTCAGACCCTCCTGCATCCGCCACGTCCACCAACCAGCCCCACGTGCCACGTCACACCCTCCTGCATCCGCCACGTCTACCAACAACCAGCCCCACGTGCCACGTCACACCCTCCCATCCCATGCCACGTCACCCCCCCACCCACCTGACACGCGTCGCCTCGTCAGTGGCCGCTCCTGTGTACCATTCCAAACCGCCACGTCAGGCCCAACCCTCACATGCCGCCACGCCACACCCTTTTGCATCCGCCAACAACCCGCCCTACTTGCCACGTCACACCCCCACCAAGAGCGACGTCACCCCCCACCCACCTGAAACGCCTCGCTTTGTCATGCGCCGCTCATGTGTACCCTTGTAGGGTGCCACGTCATCCCCAACCCTCACCTTCCCCCACGTCACACCCACCTGCATCCGCCACGTCTTCCCCAACCCTCACCTTCCGCCACGTCACACCCTCCTGCATCCGCCACGTCCACCAACAACCAGCCCCACGTGCCACGTCACACCCTCCTGCATCCGCCACGTCCACCAACAACCAGCCCCACGTGCCACGTCACACCCTCCCACCCCATGCCACGTCACCCCCCCACCCACCTGACACGCGTCGCCTCGTCAGTGGCCGCTCGTGTGTACCATTCCAAACCGCCACGTCAGGCCCAACCCTCACATGCCGCCACGCCACACCCTTTTGCATCCGCCAACAACCCGCCCTACTTGCCACGTCACACCCCCACCAAGAGCGACGTCACCCCCCACCCACCTGAAACGCCTCGCTTTGTCATGCGCCGCTCACGTGTACCCTTGTAGGGTGCCACGTCATCCCCAACCCTCACCTTCCCCCACGTCACACCCACCTGCATCCGCCACGTCTTCCCCAACCCTCACCTTCCGCCACGTCACACCCTCCTGCATCCGCCACGTCCACCAACAACCAGCCCCACGTGCCACGTCACACCCTCCTGCATCCGCCACGTCCACCAACAACCAGCCCCACGTGCCACGTCACACCCTCCCACCCCATGCCACGTCACCCCCCACCCACCTCTCACGCGTCGCCTCGCTACGCGCGGCTCCTGTGTACCATTCCAAACCACCACGACAGCCCCAACCCTCCCATTCTGCCACGCCACACCCTTTTGCATCTGCCAACAACCCGCCCTACTTGCCACGTCACACCCCCCACCAAGAGCCACGTCACACCCCCCACCAAGAGCCACGTCACCCCCCACCCACCTGAAACGCCTCGCTCCGTCATGCGGCACTCCCTTGCACCCTTTCACACTGCCACGTCATATCCCAACCCTCACCTTTTGCCATGTCACACGCACTTGCATCCGCCACGTTCACCAACAACCCGCCCCACGTGCCACGTCACACCCACCCACCCCATGCCACGTCACCCCCCACCCACCTGATACGCGTCGCCTCGTCACGCGCCGCTCTCGTGTTCCCTTCGAACCCGCCACGTCAGCCCCAACCCTGACCTTGTTGCCACGTCAACCCCAACCCGCCCCATTTGGCCAGCCACATACCGGGAATGGGTTTGTCTCCTGCAACACTAGCACTCGTGCCTTGTCCACGGCGCTCATCGGCGGCGGGGTACCAGCCATAGGCAGGGCTGCCGACCCGCCGGCATAGCTGGCACGTACTCCACGACGCAGGCCGAGCTGTGCAAACATGGCGTACATCTCAGACCGCAGCGCCTGGAACTCCTCCCGTGTAACAAACTGCTCGTGCTCCTCACTTTCACCTAGGGCACCCATGAGCGGAGGAAAAGGGTGTGAAGAATCCCCCCTCTGGCCAAGGGTATCAACGTCTTCTGCAGCAGTCCCGTGTGCCCTCACACTATCACGCTGGCGGGAAAAGGGGAGCTCAGGGAAGGGATTGGCATAAGTGCCTGCCTGATGCCCGCGCGAAGGACCGGCGATGGGGGAGACCGCCCTGCCCCGGACAGGAGAAGCGTGGAGTTGCCGAAATGGGTACGAGGGTGAGGCGAGTGAGGAGTGCGTGACGGGGACGGGTGGAGGGGATTCGGATTCCTCTCCTCTTGGCGCGCTGGGTGCCGTCGCAGCGACTTTGCTGGGGCCGGCCCATGGCGTGTAGAACCTTGGTGCGCCGGACGAGAGCGGTGTAACACTCGCTATTCCGGCAGCCTTCGTTAGATGCATTCGTTGCACGCTTAAGGGCGGCCCAATGCCTGTAACGCGAGGGGCTGAGATGTAGAGGGAGTGGGAAAATAAAAATTGGAGTCGATCGGTTTCAAGGCGGGGCCAGACATGCATGCATATTCAGAAAGGTTTGAATCTAGATCGGGTTTAGGGTTGTACTGGTTTGAGACAAGAGGGTTTACCTTGCTTGGCAGATTCGTCAACCTTCTCCTTCCCTGCAGGAGAGAAACAATGTGAATAAAGGGTGTTATTTGGGACGGTTTAGCAGATTGTTTAACATGTCACGCCAGTTGTATTGGACACAATGCTCACCTTTCTGTTGTCCCTTCGGATTTGGGGCAGCCTGCGCCTTCTCTTTGCCACCTTTCCGCGGGGTGCTTCGGCGCACGCTGCGACGTTTACCGGCACGTTCCTTCTTGCCGGTACCCACTCGAACCCCTTTGGCGCGGCCACCCTTTCCTCCTCCATCCCCTTTTGCACCCTGGCTCCCTTGCTTTTTACCAACCCCTTCACTTTCGACCTTCACCTTACGCGCCTTCGGTTTGCCCGCTGCTTCGCCGCGCGCAGCGTCACCTGCCCCGCGTTTTCGGGAAGGGCGAGTCCGGCCCCCCTCCTTCCCTGTCCCACTCACCCGACCGCCACGCCCGCCCCGTCTCTTCCCTGGCGCCACATCCTCCTCCTCCTCCTCCTCCTCCTCCTCCTCCTCCTCCTCCTCCTCCTCCTCCTCCTCCTCCTCCTCGTCACCCTGCTCCTCCTCCTCATCCCCCTCCTCCTCCTCCTCCTCCTCCTCCTCCTCCTCCTCCTCCTCCTCCTCCTCCTCCTCCTCCTCCTCCTCCTCTTCGTCCTCCCCGCCATCATTCTCATCTTTAGCATCCTCCCCAACATCCGCGTCTTGCTCCTCCGCTTCCTCTTCATCCTCCTCTCCCTCCGCATCCTCCTCCTCATCCTCCTCCTCCTCCGTATCACCGGGGTCTTCATCGCCCCGTTTCGGCCTCGTTCCTGTCGCTGCTTTCTTGCCTCTCCTTCCGCCAGATGCTTTTCTTGCTGCGGGGCGGCCCTTCTGGCGCAATGCTTGACCGCCCGCCTTGCCACTAGCTTCCTTGGCGCCTCGCGGTGTGTCAACTTCCGCGCCTCCGGCGTTGTCAGCACTACCTGTCGTCTGGCGCCTCTTCGCCCGCGTGGTGAGGTCCCCGGGCACGGCGGTGTCATCATCCTCCTCCCCATCGCTCTTCCTTTGCCTACGCCTTCCCCGTCCACCAGAAGGAGGAGAGCCACCGACCAGCCCCACCGACTCGTGCTGTGCCACCTTGTCCTTATCCAGCACGGCTGCAGAAACTTCGACCACGCTCGGCTGGAGCAGCGTCAGATGGTGTTGCGTTGCCGCCTCCTCGGACTCCTTGGTTGCGGCATGCTCGGCGCGAGGATCGCCTCCGTGATTTCCCCCTGTCGCCGAACCCTCCATCTCCGCCGACGGGAGTGCAAGACTCGCGCTCCCTCGCCCCGGATCTTCGTTGCCGCCAGTGGTGCCGTCTTTACTCGGACCGGGCTCGGTTCCAGCAGAGGCACCATCCGCAGCTTTGTTCACTGTAGAAACACGCTTGCGTGGCGTTGGTTTAGGCCCCTTGTCTGCCGCTTTCTTGCCGGCCTCCTGTTGACCGCGCGCGACCTTTTTTGCCACCGCTTTTTTCGGCCCAATGCCACGAGCGACGGACGCATTGTTTTTTTTAGCGCCGCCACCACTCTCCCTATCGATTTGTTTAGACGTCCCCCTTGTCGCGCGGCGGCCGGCCTGTTCCTCCTCCATTGCTTGGTTACGTGTTGCACGTGTCATGGTAATCGTAGGAAGAGCAAAGTTGCAAATCGCGCGGAAGGGTTGAGCCGGTTTCGAAAGGGTTTTGCTACTGAATCCCACGAAGGAATAATCGGCCGTCTATCACTTTTATGTGTTTACGAAAACAGCCGCTTCAACTAAGTCTGAAATAGTAGCCACTATGCTTCGCGCTAAGGCCGATCTGGAGAGGCGTGTGTCAAGGCAACGAGCAGCGTCAAAGTGTTGGCCCAGGGAGTGACGGAAGCAGGTGGGTGGGACACGAGGGTGGTTGGGGTGAGTTGCGAGACTAGAGAGAGAAATGTAACCCTATCAGGCTACATTGGACGGTGTACGTGTAGCCACCCTAGCATAAACCCACCTTCCGCTCGATCTCAGCCGCCCAATGGCTGAAGTTCCTCTTGGCTGATGACTGTGTTGCGGGGGGAATCGTTTGAGATGCGTCGGCCAATGACGGTTGCCAACACATCAATCACAACAAAGGGTAAACCTGGTGTGAAACCTACAGTGCGAAATTAGTCAAATCCCTGCAAAGTACAGTGTTTTCGGTTGCAAAGTAACAACGCATTTCATCAAACTCTAAGTTGCAACTGGTTTTGTACGGGGTTGGGGTAAGTTAATCGGTGATTCTCACGTCACACACACAACGACCGTCTTGAATTTTTACTTAGGAAAGATGTACTGCGCACTTTTAGGCTTTGCCACAATGGTTTAGGGCCAGCGGACGTCATTCTAACACGATTATCAATAATAACAAACGTGAATCCGTTGTGGTATGGTGTTGGATTGTCATCCATTCTTGCACAGACATTACACAAGGTGCTTAGAAGGAGTGGTATGAAGCGCAGGCCCAACGCACAAGCGTAGATGCGTTATCGACAGCCATGTTTAGACTGTGCGACGATGCATCGTTCAGGCCTCCGCGTTGCGCGACTTGGTGAATCCGTTGTGGTATGGTGTTGGATTGTCATCCATTCTTGCACAGACATTACACAAGGTGCTTAGAAGGAGTGGTATGAAGCGCAGGCCCAACGCACAAGCGTAGATGCGTTATCGACAGCCATGTTTAGATTGTGCGACGATGCATCGTTCAGGCCTCCGCGTTGCGCGACTTGGTGAATCCGCTGTGGTATGGTGTTGGATTGTCATCCATTCTTGCGCAGACATTACACAAGGTGCTTAGAAGGAGTGGTATGAAGCGCAGGCCCAACGCACAAGCGTAGATGCGTTATCGACAGCCATGTTTAGACTGTGCGACGATGCATCGTTCAGGCCTCCGCGTTGCGCGACTTGGTGAATCCGTTGTGGTATGGTGTTGGATTGTCATCCATTCATGCGCAGACATTACACAAGGTGCTTAGAAGGAGTGGTATGAAGCGCAGGCCCAACGCACAAGCGTAGATGCTGTCAGATTATTATAGCTGATGCATGTTTGTAGGCTATAGTGGGGTAGCACATATGGGGTACAGTTTGCTAGGGTTGTATTTGTACCCAACTCTGACTTAGTCAATCCATTCCTGTTCAGTTAGTTTCACATGGTATAGAGCGGGTCCCTCCTAAGGACCGTTCTTTGGGCCCACCCACGATTTTTTTTTTCCTGCTCGGAGCGCGCCCTATTCTCCCCGAGGCGCGCTCCCCCCTAGTGCGCGTCGAGCTGCCCTTGTGGCGCCCCGAGAGTCGCGCGCGCGACTCATTTTTTTTCGCGCGCGCGGTTCAGGCCCCACTTCGCGCGGCCCTTACAGCCGCGCCGCGCCGCCCTCTCGGCTCTGCCGCGCCGCGCCGCCCTCAAGACGGCCGCGCGGCCTCTTCGTCGCTGCAGCAGGCCCCCCCCCGCTGCACCTCTGTCGGCCCCGCAGCCGCCTTACCTGACGGCCGCCGCCTCACCTGACGGCCCGCCGCCTCGACTTCTGGCCCGCCACCTCACCAGACGGCCCCCCCGCCTCACCTGACGGCCCACCGTCTCACCTGCTGGCCCGCCACCTTACCTGACGGCCCCGCCGCCTCACCTGACGGCCCGCCGCCACCTTACCTGACGGCCCCGCCGCCTCACCTGACGGCCCGCCGCCTCACCTACTGGCCCGCCACCTGACCTGACGGCCCCGCCGCCTCACCTGACGGCCCGCCGCCTAACCTGCTGGCCCGCCACCTCACCTGACGGCCCGCCGCCTCACCCGCTGGCCCGCCACCTGACCTGACGGCCCCCCCCGCCTCACCTGCTGGCCCGCCACCTGACCTGACGGCCCCGCCGCCTCACCTGACGGCTCGCCACCTCGCCTGCTGGCCCGCCACCTGACGGCTCCGCCGTCCCCCGTCCCGGCCCCGCCACTGCACCCTGACGGCCCCGCCGTCCCCTGTCCCGGCCCCGCAGCTGCACCCTGACGGCCCCGCCGAGCCGCCCAGCAGCAGCCGAGCCGCCCAGCCGCAGCCGAGCCGCCCAGCGGCAGCCGAGCCGCCCAGCAGCAGCCGAGCCGCCCAGCAGCAGCCGAACCGCCGAGCAGCAGCCGAGCCGCCCAGCAGCAGCCGAGCCGCCCGGTACCCGAGACGCCCGAGCCGCCCGAGCCGCCCGAGCCGCCCGAGCAGCCCGAGCCGCCTGCTGCTGACCTACCCGACTCTCCCATCCTGGTGAGACTTTCAGCTGCTGCCATGGCCACCCCCAATGTTCTCACTTTTGACGCTGAGGGGAGGGCCATTGACTTTGCCGTCTGGATCGAGGACCTGCAGCTGTACTTACTGTGTGATGCGGTAGATGAGGTCTCTCTCTTTGACTTTGTCTCTGGCGCTGTCCCTGCCCCGCCTGCTGATGCTGACTCTGCCGTTCGCTCCAAGTGGGCGACCCGCGATGCTGCTGCACGTCTTGCTGTGCGTCGCCACCTCCCTTCCTCTGAGCGTGCCCACTTTAGTCAGTGCAAGACCGCTCAGGCCTTGTACGACGCTGTAGTTGCGCGCTACTCCTCCCCTTCCTCCGCTACCCTTAGCCGCCTCATGCTACCGTTTCTCTTCCCTGACCTCGCTTCCTTTCCCACTGTCGCTGACCTCGTTACCCACCTCCGCGCTAGTGACACCCGCTACCGCGCTGCCCTTCCTGCTGAGTTCCGCGCTGCGAACCCTCCTCCCATGTACATCACTCTCTACTTTCTCGTCACCCGTCTCCCTGAGTCCCTTCGTGTCGTTAGGGACCAGTTTCTCTCTGTCTGTCCCACCACTCTCACTGTCGACCTCCTTGAGGAGTCCCTGCTAGCGGCTGAGAAGAGTATTGTCGCTGTAGGGGCCTCTCGGGGTGACCCTCGCACCCCCATCTTTGAGGGGTGTGGTCCCTCCCCCCTGCTGCCCTCTGTCGCCTCTGCCGCTGCGGCCGACCTCGTTGGTTTTGAGTCGGTCGGCGCGGCGTCTGCCCCCAGTGGCAGACGCCGCACTGGCAAGGGCAAGGGGGGCAAGGGAGCGGGTGGAGCCAGAGGGGGCGGTGGAGGAGGCGGTGGGGGTGGAGGGGGGAGTGGGGGTGGCGGGGGGGGTGGTGGCGGGAGTGGAGGTAGTAGTGGCGGCGGTGGAGGCGGAGGTGGCGGCGGAGGTGGTAGCGGAGGAGGCGGTGGGAGCGGTGGGAGCGACGGTCCTGGTGGGGGAGGTGGCGGTGGCGACGGGGGTGGCGGTGGAGGCGGGGGTGGCGGTGGAGGAGGGGGTCGGAGTGGCTCGTCCCAGCGGAGCAGCTCTGGGGGTGGTCAGCGCCAGCAGCAGCAGCAGCAGCAGCCACAGCAGCAGCCGCAGCAGCAGCAGCGCTCTCGCACCGTCCCCGGCCCTCAGCAGCTCCGTGAGTGGTACTTGCAGCGTCAGCGCGGTGGTGCGCTTGGTCCCTGCCCCTACGTTCTTCGCACTGGTGACCGTGCAGGGGAGAGGTGTGGAGGCGCCCACACAGCCCGTCGCTGCTTTGGCCGCCTGACCGACGCCTGGCGTCAGCAGTTTCCGGAGGCCGCTGAGATCCCCCGCTGGGGAGAGCTGTCTAGGGCTGGTGTAGCTATTTATGATCTTGATTTTGATGCTATTCTCTCTGCTATGTATGCTGTGACTGGTAGTGATGAGGATGACTGTTACCGGTGTTTCCCGCCCGACCCGGGCATTGGTACTGCCGCGTCAGGTACTAGTGAGGCTGCTGCTCTAGGTGCCAGTGCGTTTGTGCTTTCAGGTACTGGTGAGTCCGCCCTCTCAGGTACTGTGTCGGCTTCGGCCTCTCACACCTTCACCCTTGACTCTGGAGCGTCTCGCTCCTTCTTTAGGGACCGCACCACTCTCACGCCGCTGAGTCGGCCTGTTGCGGTGTCCCTGGCGGACCCCTCTGGGGGGCCTGTCCTGTCTCGCTTCTCCACTGTCCTCCCGTGTCCGGCGGCCCCCTCTGGCACCCTGACTGGTCTCTACCTCCCCTCGTTCTCGACGAACTTGGTGAGTGGTGCTGACCTCCAGGATGCAGGTGTCCACCAGTTCACCCCTGCTCGTCAGCGGGTGACCCACTGTACGGAGGCGGATACAGGTCGCCACCTGGCTACGTTTACACGTCGGCCGGGGTCGAGCCTGTACACACTGACCACTGCTTCTCCTCCAGGTACTGCGTCTGGTAGGGCCCCTTCGTCTGGTCAGGTGTTTGCTGCAGCGTCCAGGTCTGGTCCTGAGTCTGCCCCTTGTTCGTGTCGTCGTCTGTCTCACGAGACCCTCCTCTGGCACCACCGCCTTGGCCACCCCTCTCTGCTTCGGCTCAGAGGCATGGCCTCGCGGGTCCTTGTGTCTGGTCTTCCCCGGTCCCTCCCTCCCCTTCCTCCGGGCCCTGGCCCTGCCTGTGTCCCCTGTGTCGAGGGGCGCCAGCGTGCTGCCCCTCACTCCTCCCAGTTTCCTCCGACAGAGGCCCCGTTGCAGACGCTTCACATGGACGTGTGGGGCCCAGCCCGCGTCCGTGGACAGGGTCAGGAGCGCTACTTCCTGCTAGTGGTTGACGACTACTCGCGTTACACCACAGTCTTCCC